TTGGTTTCGCTTGCCTCATCCACGCTGACCGGAACGAATATCACTGGTGTATAATGCTGAGATATTTGCAAAACTCCGGACCGCAGGTGTATGCGGTGTGGAACGAACGCGCGCTATTGTCCTTTACGGCGAGTAGCGCGAATCCCTTCGCTGTACATCGCGGCCCGACACCAAGGCACACCTCCCAGCCACTATAAGGCGGTAAACCGTTGGGAGGAAATAGTAATATATCTCAGCATTATACACGAGTTATATTTCGCAACATACCCTGCTATTAAAAAGAAAAATGCAGTAAATAAAAGGGTTAAGATTGTGATTATAACTAAGCCTCAGCTTAACTGGGTTCAATGCCGATATTGGCTCACCAGACCAATCCCGTTGACGGGTGATTGCTGATGGCAAAAGATCGATAGAACTAGCTGAGAGACAGGCAAAACGAAGGACCCGGATGGTGTGGTGGTGAAGTGCGCTACTCCCCGGAAAGGACAATAGCGCGTTCGTTCACCACCGCATACACCTGCGGTCCGGAGTTTTGCAAATATCTCAGCATTATACACGAGTTATATTTCGCAACATACCCTGCCATTAAAAAGAAAAAGGCAGTATATAAAAGGGTTAAGAAACAAATATCTCTGAATGCTCCAGTTATGTTTGTCTAGGTCGGGAAATCAATATGATGAACGACCTATCTCCAGAGTTCAGCATAAGAAAACGGGAGACTTGGAGAGCTTTCAAGAGTATCGAGAATGTAGTGAAGTGAACAAAGAACATCCGAATCTATGCCCACTTTTTCGACTCCACGATACTTCCTGCCTTAACGTATCAGAAACCTGATCGCTGCGCAGGTAGCATGAAAGATCATCTAGCGATATTGAAAGCGCAGTCGAAAGGACGATGCTAAGAGTATCCCGTACCACACAAGGGAAAGGATCCGCAGCTCCGACCTGCGCCAACGATCGAAAATCAAAGATGCCGTTCTACACGCCAAACTTTCGAAGATAAGGTGGGCTGGACAAGTAATGCGTTTTTACAACAACTAACAGAGAAGAGCCGTTAGTGATTGGCACTGACCCGATAGTCAGAGTTCTTTACGAAAAGCATAAAAGAAGGATATGATGCTCAACCCACTGGGCTACTCTTGCACACGACAGGGAGAAAAGGAAGATCTACTGGAGTGCTCTAATCACTCAACGACCAACTGAACGACAGGTAATCGTGCCTCTAATCATTCCACCGATTTTAGTATTAGGTAAAGAATTGTTCAAATTTCGAATGTGCAAAAAATCGAGTGTCGACCACATCTGGTTTCGAAAAATTTTAATCGGGAAACAATTTCCATTACGATCTATGATTTCTTTTGCAGATATAAGCACTCTTAAATAAACAGTGAATATTTATATTATGAATAACTCCTACTAATCCTGCAGATTATGGCTCAAATGTTTTACACTGATTGGTTGGGAAGCTCTTGAACAGCGATGTTACAACAACGATCTCAAGCAATTATATATTTTATTTTAAAAAAGTATAAAGTATGAATTTTAAAATGTCTAAAGGAGAGAAAACTGGAAGAGGGAGAACATTTATAGAACTACGCAGCTACTCTACAGACATGATGGCTGGCGATGTAAAGGACTTTGACGATCACTATAACAGATCCGGGAACCAGTAGAGCCATGAAGATGAACTTGCCGGAAGATGACCATTCACTTTCAAACTCTCACAACTTATTCATACCATCGGCTCAAGAATTCAATCACCATCGACGTCTATTATCCTGAAACTTTTCAATCACACTCCCGGGCCTTTCGCCATGCGAGGAATGCTCCAGATACCATGTTGAGACCGAGGCTTTCTTCAGCGACTTAATCGCCTCAAGAACTTCGAAATTCTACACGATAGGAATACACAAACCTGCTTTCGTTGGAAAAAAATGTAGACCCCAAAGTTTCTTGTTTGGATTAGTAACGTTCATTCAGAGCTGAGATAAGCCGCTTTAAAGATAGAGATTTAAATGCTGCATTAATTCCCCCCCAGGACAACCTACGACCTTTTATTCTAGCAGATAATTTGTGAAAAACAGTGTTAATGAACTGATGAAAGCTGGTAGTAGTTGCTTCGGACCGCGGTTTGGCCGTTGCACGCCTTTCTTCTTCGGCACGGTAGAGAGCATGTTAGAGTTCGAAAATGAGAACAGCTAAGAAGACTAATTTTTCCTACCTCGCCTGATATAGAAGTGAGTAGAAGTGGTTATTGAAGGACAAGAGAGAATATAAGTTTGGCACCATGCTTTTCTGGAGGCAGTGACCTGCAAGCGAAGGATAACGATCATCTTAATTTTCTATCTAATCACCGATGTATCGACTGCTGATCAACCATTCTGCTATGTTCCGCTCAAAATCTTCTATGTCTTCGCCTAAGCGTTTCTCAATTTCGAGAACAAGTCAATGATTGGCCATGGCTGGTGCGAGTTCACGTTAGCCACTTCCAACAGAGGTGTTCCAGGAACGAAAGTCTCTAGTTGAGTTTTAAACTCTCGCTTTTTACTAACTCATACTGCTTAACCCCTCCCAGTCTGTGTGTGTCGATGTGAAACTTTTCAGACCATCTTCTCTTGTTAATCTTGCAAGGCAGTCACCAATAATGCCATTTTAGCAGATATGATGTTCCCTGTAGAACTTCTTAAAGTCCATGTAGAACGTTTCGATCTTAGATTTCTTCCGGCTTGATATTGAAGTGTAGGTGATAAAGAACGTCAAACGTAGTACTGGTCCACATCTTTTCAATGGTAATCATCCGATTCGTCTTCGTGATTGTGCAGAAAATCGATGTTCATGACTAAGTTCGCCTTCATTGGAACACCAGCTCCGATAACTCTTCTATGATCCCACGATTCAAGGCCTTTTTTTATCAAAGCTATAGGAGGTTTCCTTCTAAACTGACTCGAACAAACCAACACTAGGGAATTCTTCACAGTAGTGAACATCTCCCATTTTCGAGTTGACTGCATACATGTTCAAAGTGAATCCTACATATATTTATTTATATGATCTTATAAACTGATCTTCTTAAGCTGATGCGAGGTTGATATAGGGCTTCGTTGTCGTTGTTATTGGTGTTGTTGGTCGATGGCTGACGTTTCGGCGACTTCGCCTTCCTCAGAGCCAGGACGTATTTTATATTAGAATATTTTTATTATTCGGTGGAAAAAGGGAAAAATGTATTGGGAAAACGGGTTGACCACTTTGTGTCCGCATAAAAGAACATTTAGATGGAAAAGTTAAAATCCGTCTAAACACCCCTCTAGGTACGCATAGGGCACAAAAGCACAACGGCGATGATTTTGAAGTGAATGTGCGGATCCTAGCGAGGAATTCAAAAACATCAACGCGCAAAACTCTTGAGGCGTTTTGGATAAATTTCAAAAATCCAAAGATGAACCGGAAGGACGAATGCCTCACTATCACACGTGACATGGCGCCCTATTTCAAAATGATATTTTGACCCCGGGGTGTGTCTTGCTCGCGTAAACTACGTGTCGGCCAGTCCCGCACATCACAGTAACATCACGGTGAGTGACCTTTTTGTTCAATATGGCGTCTATTCAAAGTTCGATCTTCATTGATACTTTAACCTTCTTTTCCACCGAATAATAAAAATATTCTAATATAAAATACGTCCAGGCTCTGAGGAAGGCAAAGTCGCCGAAACGTCAGCCATCGTTCAATAACATCAAAAACAACGACAACGACAACGACAACGAAGATCTGTACCAACCTCGCGTCAGCTTAAGAAGATCAGTTTATAAGATCATATAAATAAATATATCAACTATCTATGCGGAGGTTTATAGAAAGTCGGTCTTCCGAGTTATTAAGAGATGAATCCTACATACATAGAAAAGTGTTATGGGGAAAGTTCACATAGTTAAGTTTGCTCAACGTATACCAAGAGTTGTTGCATTAAACAGACTGTCTTCATAAGTGATTCTGAGAAAATCGAATGGATGTAAGTTTCGACTGTATGTGGACGATTCACGACAGGACAGCTGAAGCCATTAATGAGTAAATTTTCGAGCTCTTCTCAAGAAATGTTAGCACAACGTTAGTACAAACATTCGTAAGACGAAAATGGAGGAGTTTGATGATCACCAGTTAGTCAAATCTGGAGTATAGACCTCCACTGCTCATGCTCAAACGGGAAGGAGAAGCTTACAGTGTCAAGCCACAGGGCGATGTCATCTTTCCTGGTGGTCATGAAGAGGGACCGAGATAGCGCAAGCACGTGATTTATATACATATATATACCAAAGAATCGACTAATCAATACGTATTCCCTCAACTAATTGTTATAAACTACAGATCTTTTTCAAAAAGCACAGCACTTTCCCCTCTAAGAAGACAAAATTTTGGTCTCCTGAAGTCCGCAAAATGTCCTTTGTTCCGTTGAGGCTCGTATTTTAAACAGCAAATAAACTAAGTAAGTTCAACTTCAATCCAGAGAAGACGAAAATATTCTCAGACGATGAAAACAACATTAATCCTTGGTCCTGTCGCCCGTATTGACTCTTCAGAAAAGCTCTGTTTCAAAAATTCGCAGTTAACTGTTGGGAGTCAAAATAGAACCAGCACATTCTCAACTATAATGAACATCCAAATTCAAGAAGTTACGGTTATGGTATAAAGGAAGAGGACGTGAATGACAACCATCAAAATCATTTGCAAGGTTTCTGAAGGACCACATTAGGTACAGGATTCCTGTTGCCTCGTTGTTTTGAGAAGGCCGGTTGCAGAAACGGAGGGTGCAGAGCACACACCACAGAAAATGAGTCGATGGGATGGAAATATGAACTTTATCAAACACAGATAGGCAAAGACCTTTAATTTTTCACCTACGCAATAACTAGTAAGGTTTCAACGAATCTACAACATCTGAAACAAAATGTCTTATCAACTACGAAGAGGCAACTGTTCATCATGGACTACTTGCCAAAAGCCGGCTCACAAGTTGGCTTCGTTGCAGGCTTTGAGAGCGTCATCACGTTCCTCCTCGAGTTCCTTAACAAATATAAAGTGACTCTTTGATATATATATATATATGTACATATATATATATATATATATATATATATATATAATCAAGGAAATCCCAACCTTTTGAGTGGCAGCAATTTTTTCTTTAGCGAAATCGTCAAAGGAAAGGCCTTGAACGATCTTCCATTCTTTTGTTGCCCCATCGATTGTAACTGGGAAGGAGAACACCAACCCAGCTGGAATACCATACGATCCGTCTGAGGGAACAGCCATCGATACCCACGAACCCTGCAAAACGTATAGGCAGTTGAGAAAAATTAAGAATAAGTACAGAAACAAATAATAATTGTAAGGTGTACAGAATATCAACAAATATAAAAACTACCGGCTTAGTACCAAAGTGCCAGTCATGGATATGGTCGCAAGCGGCTTTTGCCGCAGACATCGCAGACGACAGTTTACGCTTCTGGATGATCACAGCTCCTCGCTTTTGAATCGTCTGCAGAAAAGTAAGAGGCAACTATAACTCTTCCTCAGAACAACATATACACATACGCATATGATTTCGTAATTTGCAGCCTTTTAACTAACAGGAACGTTTGCGAACCACAAAGCTTTAATCGTTCCAGAAATGAGCATCTCCTTCATGTACACGAACTCGTGTGACTTACAAAGTTACACTGCACTACAACAGATTGTACAAGGTTGGGGAAAAGGAAAGAAAACTACATTTTCGTTAGCATAGAGGTAAATATACGTTTGAGCTCCTTGTTACTACTGTGTCGGAGTGACCTTTACATTTCATACACATGTAGTCTTCTCCAAGTGCGTCAGAGCGGTAGCATACACGTAGCTCTCATTTTAAAAAAAATTCTTTGCGTTGATCAATCCCTGAGAGATGCACCATGCATTCGACTTCGCTAAACATCGTTGGAGGTTATTGGAAACGGTTATGGAAATCATGGAGCAGCTCTAACGCATGACAGGAACAAATTAAGATTCTATCGATGCCCGCTTATATCACTTAAGGATTATCAAGAAAAACGATGACACAAGTGGTTTCTCCAAGTGCTACTTATTGTGTGAAGATCAGAAGTGGTTATTAGTGATCAGTGAAGTGATCAGTGATATGTGGTTATTTCATGAAGTTTTTTAACACAATTGCATGAATTGATTAAGATAACTGGCTTCAAGAGAAATACGATCACTCACTGAAATGAATGGACCTTGCAGAAAGGCTGTGTCGTTACAAGCAGTATAGGCATCAACACTGTTCCCACCTGAAAGAAGTAAACTGGGTGAAGTTCCCTTCCAGTTCTAATAGTAATCAAATGGAAGATTTAGAAAATTCACTTCATATACATATAGCTATATCATCATACCCATCCCACCGTACAATGGTGATTCGCACGACTGTTGTACTTTTTTGCGGTTAAACGGGGAAGAAACACAATGTATCAAAACATTTTTAAAGATTTAATACATTAAAAAAAGGATAAAGCTCTCGGCGTTGATCCATCTCTGAGGGATGCGCCGAATTCGACTTCATTAAGCATTGTTGGAGGTGATTGAATGCATATATAGCCTTTCCAATGATTCGCGGTGGCCTGCCGTTGTATCGAGCCAGTGCTGCTATCTTCCCGGACAAGTATGGTATCAATTTGCCGAGCCCGGAGGGATGGATGGCTTGGTGGGCCAGGGGCGCGGTGAACGATCACATGTATATTGCAGGGCGTCTCCGACCATTATGCTACAGATTTAACTGGTCAGATGCCAAGAAACCCATGATTAGAACTAATACGTGCAATAAGCCCACTAACAAATTCTGAGAGTATTTTTTTTTCAAAAAATAAAATTTCAACAAATCATTATCCCACTCTGTGAACAATATCACACAAGTCATTATAGGAAAAGACTGGTTATTTCCTAGATTCAAACATTTATATTTTCCTACTTATTACTATTTCGTCCCAACGGTTTACCGCCTCATAGTGGCTGGGAGGTGTGCCTTGGTGTCGTGGCGCGATGTACAGCGAGGGGATTCATCCCCTAGGCAGGGTCTCCCAAGCTGAGGTGTCCGGCGTTCCCATCAGGAAACCCAACTAAGAATAAACTAATGCCTGGACCCACCACGGTCCTGCCATCAAATTAGCCGCATGGTGGCAAATCTCCCTCTGATCCACAAGGGCTGCGACTGCCTGTGGTGGTGAAGACCTGGGGCAGACTTTGACCAGACTGACCTCGGGATTCCAGGGAACCACAATGGCTTAACCAGTAAATCTCCGAAGAATGAAGATTATGTTAGGACCCGCACAACCAGCAAAGACAGGCTATTCAAGCATTCAGGTAAGTAAGTTGCTACAGGAAAAGACTGGTTATTTCGCTGATTCAGGCATTTAAATTTCCCTACTTTTGTTATAGATGAAAAGCGATACCTTTAGTGACAACGGCATGCTTCACGTCAGGGAACTGAGTGCTCGAGTGATTTCCCCAAATAATCACATTTTTCACATCGCCAATTCCAACACCAGCCTTCATCGCCAGCTGAAATCATCTACTATATGGTTCCGAATATCACACAGCGACTTTAACATCGCATGTTTTTAAAAGAATTAGATTGTTTAAGCAACCTTCCATAAACATTCAGAGTAAATTTGGAAAGATGTCCTAGCGACAAGGTGTTTGAAGTGAGTTCTATCCTGTTACAACAATAGTAACGGATCTGTTGCACTTCTCTACATGTTCTTAGGTACAACACCGTCATCCTATTTAAAAATGTTATTAAAGCAAGAGCATTTATGAAGACGAGATATAGCACAGCTATAGGGTTAGGCTTAGGCTTAGGCCTAGGAGCATATGAACATTTGTTTTTCCTATATACTCACTATTAGTAAAACGACACGAAAAAAATATCGCCATAGGAGTAAACTGAACGAATGTCGGCCAAAAACTGAAATTAATGCGCACTTTCCTTCAAAGAAGTAAACAATAACAGAAAGGATAAAGGATAAACCTCTCAGCACTGATCACTCTCTCAGTGACGCGCCACGCATCCGACTTCATTAAGCATGGTTGAAGGTGACTGTATGCATATATGGCCTTGACAATGACTCGCGGTGGCCTACCAATGTATCTAGTCTATGCTGTTATCTTCCCAGACAAGTCTGGTACTAATTTGCCGACCCCGGAAGGATGGAAGACTTGGTGGGCCTGGGGCGCAGGAATCGATCCCGCGTGTATCGCAGGGCGCCAACGATCGCTGCGCTATCCGGGCCCTAACAATACAAAAACAATATTGGCACATGGAAGAATTCTACATCTCTAAAAATACCTGAAAACAACTGGATAAGTGATCAATCCACATTCTTTTCTTTATAACTGAAGCTCAATAAGTGATAACCACTACTGTCGTATTAACAAGTTCTAATAGAGAAATATAAGTCCATCGGAGGATTAATCTGATATGGCGTAATTAGAAAACTTACGCCGTTTATCGCTTATTACAGTCGTATGCCCAAAAAGTAGAACATTCTCATAACTGCTGTGTAGAAGTTCTAATAGTACCTGGGCGATAGCACGATTATGGTCTAATCGAGTCATAGCGGAAAAGTTGCGAGTAGGGATTTTCGGCGCTGCATACTTAGCACAGATGAAAGCGTTTGTATTGGCAGGATTTCCGACAACGAGCACCTGCAATACACTAAAATCGAGTCCACGCAAAGGAAACAGTACAAAGAATTCTCAAAGATGTACTTGTGACCAGAATAAGATCAGAAAGCCTTTCGAGAAGACAAAAACAAACCTTGGTTGTAGACTTCGCGTACTCAGCTAGGGCTCTGCCTTGTGATTTGAAGATTTTCACGTTAGCTGCGAGTAGATCCTTACGTTCCATACCTTCTTTACGAGGCATGGCTGAAAATTGAAGCCAAAACATGTCCAGAAAGATTTAGATTGGCCAAAATGGTCCATAAGACGATTTCTAACGGCTTGTATGCTTCTACGATAGCGAGCTTATCACTAGAAATGCAATACTTCCTTCAGAAGTTCCTAGTTTCACTCTAGTTGATTTGTGGGTTACCTCCAACAAGGAATGCGTAGTCGATGTCCGTGAAGGCTTCCTTCTCTGTCGTGACACATTCCACACCTGCAATATCGAACTCACCTTTGTTTACCTGGTAATGAGTTACATTGTGACTACTAGCATATCGGCAACTATTCTTTGCATAAAGAAAAGGGTATGAAAACAGTGATCACTGACTGCAAACGATCATTATACGAAAGATGTAGTAGACAACATCCAGCACTGTACAGTGGAATTTGAGCAATGACAGAAAGATGCGCAAGGTTGAAGTAAAATGTTCAGTATTAACATATTATCAATGCAATACCTTGCGCAACCTAATGTGTTACATACTTGGATACAAACTTGAGCGGCCCGTTTTTAATGCTTCTACGGGGCCCCAGCATAACTTCCACTTTTCGGAGTTTTGCCAGCTTAGCCATTGTGGTTCTCTGGACTCTCTAGCTCAGCCAGGCCATAGTCTGCCCCAGGCCGTCACCACCACAGGCAGTCGCAGCCTTTGTGGATCAGCGGGAGATTTGTCATCATGCGACTAGTTTGATATCAGGACGGTGATGAACGTGTTACATAAAATTTAGCAGCATATATTTACAACGTGACCGTTCTACTTCATTCAAAACACCGATGGCAGTCGTATAATTGTGTGCAGGTTTTATATTTGTTACTTTATATGGAGGCAGAAACAGCGCATTGGTTAGTGACACCATTGATCAGAAAGCAAAGGTGCTAGTTCGATCCCTGCCCCAACGCTCTTATCGAATCCACGTGGGAACGCTTTAACCCCGCAATCTCCAAGATTGCGATAACAACTGACTCGATCAGCATTCTATGACATTCATAAAGAAGACGATATCCTTAAATAGCAGCTGGTGCAACAAGTGAAATGTTCGAAGACCTTTGTGGACGACGAATGCGAGGAAAACGAATCGAATGAATGAGGTGCTGGCATCCGCACAGTAGATGTGATGAGGGGTCATGCAAGTAAGATAAAATGGTTAATTCTACTTTATTTATACGGCCCAACCACACAACCTGGGATGGTACCAGTATTCTCCCATTCGGTTCGTTGTCCCTTAGTTTATCCACGAATATCATCGGATGTATATGGCTTTCAACATTTTCCAGCCTTTGAGGGTTGGACAGAGCTTTTCCAGCCAAGTCGGGTACCAGTTTGCTGACCTCAGAAACATGAGAGGTTTCGTTTCATCGGAGAAAGACGGAGCCGCTGAAAATACTTCACGGCATTTCTAGCCAATGCACTCTCTCAGCCCATTTTTGTTTCGTAAGGAGTAAACAGCACAATAACATAAGGTATTAGGCATTAATAGCTCATTGATAAACATTTGTTTGAAAGAGAACAGGCAGTAAATAGAAATAACTACATTGTGATTTATACTATAGCTTCAGCTTTACTGGGTCCAATGCCGATTTGTACTCCTCAGATCAATGCCGTTGACAAATCATTGCTGATAGCACCCACAGGTCAATAATACGGCTGAGAGAAATACCAAATGAAGGATTCGCATAGTATGGTGGTGAACGCATTAGTCCCAGGAAAGGGTAATAGAGCGTTCGTTCCTCACCGCAGACACCTGTTGTCAGGAGTTTTTCAAATATCTCAGCATTATGATTACTAGCTTATCTAATTAGTTTCAAATAATGGCATATTTTTCTAAAGAAGGAAAAAAGAGCACACGAATCATAGAGAACTGGAAAGATAACTAGCCGTGAAGAGTAGGTAAAGCGCAATCCTGCAGTTCGAACTGTACTCCTTCAAGGACAGTTGCCATCGGAGGTATGTCGAGCATCACAAGAACGATAGGAGTGTCCTGCAACAGCACCCATCACCGTACTCTCACACCCGTCCAATACACAGAAAGCACCTTTCCGAACACATCTCCCTTGGCAATCTGAAGAACGAGAGAGTAGCCGATCTGGCCTGCGGCTCCAGTAACGAGCACACGAAGCGGAGACATAGCGCGCAACCTGGAAGCATGAAGAAAGTGTCGGCAAAAATGAATCCAAAAATGAACGATTCACCCGAAAACAAAACGATATGGCAGGTCGATAGAAAACTGGCTGAGAGAGAGGCGAAAAGAAGGACCGGTGTGGTGGTGGTGAGGGTGTTATCCCCGGAAAGGGTAGTAGTGCACTCGTTCCCCACTGCAGACACTTGAGGTCCGGATTTTTGTAAATATCTCATCATCATTATGGATATAGCCGAACATTCGCATGAGAGAAAAGTTACCAGAAGTGAAAACAGCATTCAAAAGTAGGACAAAGTGCTTACTATCCAGTAAGCACTCGACAATACGAACGTCATACCTACCACTGCCTACCCGCCCCTCAAAAAACACTTGTTCAATTTGACCTGTTGATTGCCAAACAGATCATCAATTTGATCTATTGATTCTCAGACAGTATCTCTAGTCCTATGGTGCTTACGAAAAGGATAGCGATTCTACATAGAACATATATAAAAGAAATCATAGGAAACCGTGATCATTAACCGATAAATTCATGGAAATTTCCGTCAACAAAGCGCAATATGACGACGACGAAAAAGAAGATAAACATCGTCGATGAAGGACTTGACCGTAAGCATTCGTAGTGAATCACATGCGAATCGACAACGAAATATATCCCTGGTCTTCGGTCTCTTACCTAAAAAGGCAACAAAATAAAGATCGAAGACCAGGAATATATTTTGTTGTCGATTCGCACGTGATTCACTATGAATGCTTACATTCAAGTCCTTCATCGACGATGTTTATCTTCTTTTTCTTTTCGCACCTAAAAAGGCAACAAAGTACACAAGAGATGCCCCAGGACTGTTGCCAAGGTGATAAGCAATACGACAGTACTAGTAGGTTGCACTGATTATTGATTGAATACTTACAGAAACCGGTTCCTTCCTAGTGAAGGAACAATTACGCTATGTATTTGGCTCAGTTGTTAAGCACTAAGTTGAACAAGCTTTCCTTAGTACCTTTAGTACTAATCCTTTTGGCGCTACAATCGTACTTAGAACTGACTTCGAACCGTCAAGTCAAAATTCTAACCGAGTTCTCCCATTGATAACGGGACTTTTCGCAAGCCATTCCTTATCGCAATCAACTTTTTATTTCCAGAGTCACACGGAGTCTGCTGGCGCAGTGGAGGCCGCCACGTCACCAGGCCGGTAGTGGTCTGGGACGAAGGCGGGCACGTTGCCCCCACCCCACACTACTACTGGTAATCTGCACTTGGCAGTATATGAGCCATGTAAACAAATCAGTTTTCAAAAACAATTCACATTACGGTGTCGGCGCTGGCAGACGTGGTGATGGACGAGTGTGGCATAGCTCGCTTTGTCAACAGCGACCGTGGACGGAGAGCGCTCTCTGCATCCAAACAACTGACACGCACAGCGGCCGCCAACATCGATTTTGTTAGTAGAAATCGTCGACGCCAGTTCGATGTCGAACGTATGTAAGTGTAAGTAGCTAGTGACAGCTTCAGTTCTAGGACTTCATCACGCATGTGGATCACGAGAACTTACCCGAATGCGAACACTAAGAGTAAGGTAAATGGACATAGTGCACTGCAAAAATTGCTGTGTATGAGGTTCTACGAGGGTTCGCATAACCTCTCTCCTTGTTGTCATTCGACCCCAGCAGAGTGTGGACTCTCAGCGCTAGCGCTCAAATTGAGAGAGAGAGAGAGACAGAGAGTGCAAGGAAGGCTTCATAAGAAGGTTTTCCTACGAGTATTCGAGAAGCATGCTAGATTTTAAATATATAACATGACGAGTGAAAGTCATTAGAATACAAATGGTGCAAAATATAAATTCAGCTGCAAAGTTAGTAGATCGGAATATAAGTGTTTAGAACATTTGAAGAGTTAAACGCTACTTCTTCACTACCTTCAAGGGAAATAGGAGCAACCACTATCTGAGATAACAATGGGACAAGGGCTAGACGAATTTCCTTCCATGTTCGAAGGCCACCTAATCCTTTTTGACCTTTGTAGTTATTGATTGGTATCCCTGACGAAAGAAGTACGATGGTTTTTCATTGTTTACATAACAGAACTCAAAAATATAGTGCTACATTCAAATTGGTTTCTGTTTCTGTGCAACAGTATCATATCACAAAAGCTATTGAGAAGTGTGTTGACTGAGAAGTTCCATCAGAACTTGTGACCACATTTTTTCTTTTATTAAATGACTGCTTCAGCAGTCTGGATCTGCACGACTTGACTACATGAAAAAATAAAGCGGGAATAGTAAGAAGTAATGAAGAACTCTATATAGACTGATAGCAAAGCAAGGAAGAAGTATGGGTCCTGCAAGGTTCTAGATGGACTCTGCAACGGTCCAGTGTCCCAGTGGATGTGCAGACGGGACGAACGGGTGTTTACTGGCGGACGATGCCTCCGCCGTCGCCTCTCGCACGGGTAGTAAGCTCTATTTGTGCAGTTCTAGTAAAACATGTATTGTAGGCGTATTCACTCGAGACCCACTCTACTTTGTTATTTCATGAAGCAATGCCCGCTTTGAAAACCTATGAATTGAAAAGTTATTGCTTTACAGAGCTGGTTTCCACTGAAGCGCTGTAATATCGACTAGAGTGCAGGGTAAAGATTTATTTAAAGTGGTACAGAACTAATTCCCAAGACCGACTTTTAACCTCGGCATTGATGTGACTTGTTTTCTTGATTAGAAAAACACAAGGTTGTTATTCTATATTATTCGCCACATGCGCCCTTTTTTAGTAGAATAGTACTTAAAAACCTTCGACATCTACATCGACAGTCGAAGAACATATGCAGTTTTTTTCAGAAAACTTCGCCACAACGTCGAAGTTTAAATGACAAATTTTGAACGACGAAAGAACCAAGTAGAAAGCTAGAATTACTGCGACTATGATTGCCGCTAAAACTAGAAATCATCCTGAAAAGAGTAAAAGAAATTGGGTGCTCTATATTCTATGAAGTACTACTTTTACTACAAAAAGTGTATAAAATGTGCAGTCAGCGGACCTTCCACAACAAAGGATCTTCCAATTTCTGAAAACGTATGATATTTGCAACCAGAAGCACAGTTAGGGGTAATAACCTAGCGGAAATGACAGAATGTTTAGGCTACGATGCCATACGGCATGTCCATGGTCCACGAGTGCCATCCCTACGAAAACCACTTGTGGACGCCCTGGAAAGCCGTGTTATAATGCGCGTAAGAAATTCGCCCAACTAGCAGTGAACTGTAATAACTTTAGAAATCGATATAAAAAGGTGGCCTTTTAAGTTATAATAACTTCAGAACCACAAAATCTTTCGAGTTATGTCGGACGCCATACAAACGCATTTCCAATTTCTCTAATGGAAAAACCTCCATGGAGATCGTTCACGTTTTAACACACGATGGCTAAACCTCATTTATGTTCCCTTGTGAAGACGACGGCCTTTTCCGTCGTGCGAAGATATGATTCAGCCAAAAACTAAAAGATAATCTCCACCATCATATGAGATAGAAAAGTTCGACTCAACAAAGATTTCTTGAACAAAATTCATTTAGGAGACTACTGGCTTCTACTGGCTTATCGAGAGAAACTCAACTAAAGGCTGCTAAACTGCTATTCATCAATAAAACGCCTTTGCAAACCATGCTTCCTACTTTCAGACAAAATGTTTGCACTGTGTTTCCAGTGTTACCAAGGAGAGTAAGTCTTGAGTAGAGGGAAAGCTTGAATTTTGTTACACCTGCCATACACAGCGTTCTGACTTCACTGTTCGTTGCAAAATATATTGAAGGACCATCTGGAGAACTAATGAGAGACAGAAATATTGGAAACAGCTTAACAGGTAGGTCTAAAGACTATCCATCCAAATCAACACCCTCGATGGTTGCTAGATTTCCTTTTATCAATACTTTTTTGCCGATATTTAATGAAAGCCGGTTTGAAAACTGTTCCACCAAATATTTGACACCTTCACAAATGTTTGGTTATTACCTTTAATCAACGACGGCGTAACTTTCGCCTCCCATCACTGTATGCAGTTAAGTGCTCAACCTTCTGGCAAATGAATTACTCAGAATTCTGTGTTATGAAGTTCAAGCTACGATCAATAGTTACAAAGCAACAAAGGTCAAAGAACAGACAAAATTACACCTGATTTCATCGGGGTCACGAACTATATTCCGTCTGTGAAGGAAACAGCTTCTATTCTAGAACAGTAGAGGAGATCGCACTCGACATAGAAAGGTGACTGAAGCAACTCGTATCGTTTCCATCAGAATGGTGTTGGGTATTCTCCGCAAAGAATTCGTAAAATTCATATCGGCACATTAAGGACTTTAGCTGAAGTTCAAAGGCTGGCAGAAAGTACTCTAACAATAGAGTACCTGCGTCAACGAATAGAAAAACAAAGATTACCAGGTCCACAGAAATTTGCTGAATGTAACGTGGTCTCAATAAGTCGAAATTTGTAAATTCCTAGAAAGCATTTGGTGATTTGGTGGCATAGAAATTAACCCCGTTAGTAGTTATCGACTTAGGAGTGCAATAGATAAAGACCTAAAAAGTGGATTTAGTAGCAGCGGAGAAGAGCAGGTGCGGTGGATGTTAGTTGGCACTGAATCTTCTTCACATGGAGCAACCAGCAGAATAAGTTCTATACTCAGTTTTTTATGCACTACTTCACTAATTCTTTGAAATAAACCTAAGATTTGTGCTACCAGATAAACCAAACCGAGGTCCTCGTGAAAAGAGCCAATCATAGACGGACGACGGACTGCACTCCATGATGATAAAGCATACCATTGAAGTGGACAACGTGCCGGTGCTACCCACGACCACTCAAATTTCGCTATCCAACACCAGTTTTGGGACAGCGAACAATGTTGGCAAATGTCGCCACAAAAAAAAACATCTCAACAAATAACTCATAACGGAATGAAACGATTATGAAAAAATTATGAACATTATGAAAACGC